TATATATTTATATATATTTGTATATTTCTGTATATTTAAATATTTGTATATTTCTGTCTTTAACAATGGCGCGCGCGAAGCGCACGCTTGTTATGTTCTAGTAAAAATATAAAGAAAACAAATTATTTTTCCACATAGTTCCCTGCTACATTAATACGTTTTTGTCAGCGGATAGTAAGTTTGGCAATCCCGTTTTCATAAAAAATAGTAGTGTGTCTGCAGCCAATTGCGCCCGAATTCCTCTATATTAGCATCGTCCTCGAATCTTGCCAATTCTTTTAGCGGCCCAAACAAATAATAATTGCATTGAGACGAATCTTTCCATGCGATTATTATTTGTTTGGTCCGCTGAAAGAAGAATTGGAAGGATAATACAATTCGTGGCTAATGTAGAGGAATTTGTGCTCAGATAATTGGCTGCAGACACAATTCTACTACTTTTTATGAAAACGGGATCACCAAACTGCTTATCCGCTGGCAAAAATATATTAATGTAGCAAGGAACTATTATGTGTGGAAAAATAATATTTTCTTTATATTTTTATTTTTTTGTCTAATAGGTAATACAAAAAAATTCTCGTTTATATTTGATTTACCCTCGTAAGTAAACAATTTGTTTCTAGCCCCCATAATGTTATTTATGCGCGGACAGACTGTAATAAAGAATTTCATATTTTCTTTTCAAACAATCTGTTATCTCTTCCAGACGAAAACTAAAACTATTTCGAATTATCTCACTCTTTTCTTTCCAGTTTCATCTATTCGTTTTTATTATATGTATTCAGTTCCTTAATTTTATACAGCTACGATCAATTCTAACATTCTATGTCATAGCATAATTTATCACTATGAATATTATTACATACAAAGTGATTCTTAATTTCCCGATAAATAGACACGTAATATTCGATAGAATATCTTGACTTGTCACTGAGATATTTTTCTACTTTATCGCAATTAAGAATCACTCGTATAAATAAAGTATTCCAGCGTCTTCAATTTTTTTCCAAATTTGTCAGTCTACTGGTTCAGTGTCATTAAAATTCTTTCTGTTAACAATTGGATATTCTCAGTATTTCTCAATAAGCCAATTAACATTAATCGATATACGAAACTTAACTTTATTCACTGTGTGATCTAAGAAACCCCAATATTATGAGAAACACCGTATACATTTCGATTGCACCAAAATACAATACTATTTCGAGCCTGCAAATCCGATCCGCGTACTTACCCATCGCCTAATAGATCTACTTAGCAATCCTGTATAGTGTATAGTATATCAGCTATAAACAAAAGATCGCGATTAGTAATTTATTAGTATTAAGACAGGGGATTGATGAAGCTGCGCTTCGGAACTCGATTGTCGCGCTTTACGTATTTACCGGCTCGACGTTTAACAGAATCCTCTCTCTGAAACAGATAATCGTTTTCGTGACAATCTCATTCGCACAAACACAAATCGTCTTTGCATTTTAATTATCAAGAAACGCGTTTTTCACGCATCACTTTAAAAGCTCACCGTGTGTGCTCGTATCTTGTCAAATACTTCGCGTGCAGTGCCATAAGCGAACGAACCGACATGAGCGGCCACGGTGACTAGCTCTGGTAAAATGTGGACAGAATCACCCCCGCCCAGTGTCTCGCCAATGAATGTCTTCCTTGATCCTTGGATCTCATCGGAAGATCTCGCTCTATCGGAAGATCTACTCGATTGAGTGGATTGGTACGGAGGATCAACCGAAGTTCCCTGCGTAGTATTACTGTGCGGGGTGCAGAAATCCTCTGGATAGTCATCCGCATCAGGGTAATACCTTTCATTTGTCATTTCATCCTTTATATAGCCACTGCCGAAATGCATATCGTGATCGTTTTTCGGAGTCGCTGTCGCTGTTGCCGTTGCTGTTACTGCTGCTGTTCCTGTCCCCGCTTCTCGTACGTTTTTGGCCGTCAGTACTTGCTCGTCGTATTTGTCGTTGCCATAGGCCTCAGTGTAAATGTCGGTCGTGTCGGTAACCGATGTGGTGTGAGAGTGGAAGCTTTGTGTGAAGTCGTTCAAATCGGTCTGCGACTGGCAACTACACTGCGATTGCGACTTTGAGTCGCAATGAGTTCGCACGGTCAGATAACTCGTATGCGAATTTCTCACGTCGTCGTACGAATTGCTCGCGTTATCGCGAGTATCACACCCAACGTCATCTCGAGGGTTCTTCTTCCATTCGTTCGATCGCTCTATGAATGGATTCGTACAGCGAGCATTTTGAATTTGGTTTGTTATATACAAATTACGAGCTTTATCAATTCGTTTTTTCAAATCAACGTTAACGCTTTGCCAATTGAGCTTTGCTAACTGATATTCGGTGTAGATTCTACCGTGAATATCTGTCACATAAATGGAGCTGTACGGCGAGTCAAAATATCTAAAAGTTTCCTGCTCAGGATTTCCCTCGTTCGCCGAGAAATGTTCCTCGTTGAAGTGCATGAAGCATGTAGATGTAGGCGAGGGCGACTCTGACAAGAGTTCGAAGCTGGGTGAATCCCGATTGCTGTCGTGTCGTCGTTGTTCGGCAGCGGGCTCCTCAGAATGCGTAAGCGATTCATCCTTACTTCCCAAAGTAGGCATCTGGATAATCTCGAAAGCATCGTCGTCTTCCTCTTCTTGATCGCATGAACAAAAGCTGGTTTTATCGATATCAGAGCACCAGGTATCCTTACGACGGCCTTCGTCCAATATTTGGTGCCCAGTAACGGAGCAACTCATACGAAGCTCGTTCTCGAACACCCCCTTAGTTTCATCGTATGGTATTGGGTCTACGTGTAGAGGCAAGTTCTTCTGAGGAACAAAATCTTCCCGCGCATTACTTCGAGATTGCTCTTTGCCGACGTCACTGTTTGTGTTATCGGTAGTTACTGAAGCCATTCGTTGATGATATTTCTTCTTTCTTTTTTCCTCCTTCATGCTTGCACAAATAGCATCTTCAATAAGATGATCAAGCTTCTTCTGTCGCGAAACATCTGCGATATTCACGTTTCGCGACATGTGTTCCATCGAAGCGTCATCGCTTGACTGCTCTCCGTCCTGAGATCTCATCTTTCTCTGATTTTTCTCACTCGAGTGTGGATCAATATATCGAGAAAATCGTTTCAAGGAAGAAAGATGCGACTGGTTTCGAGATTGACCGTGTCTCTTTGAAGGGACAGACGTAAGGGGATCTTTGTCCAGGGGAAATTTGTTCAACATCTCCGTCATCTCTTTCACCACTTCTTGACTAATTGTAGATATCATATCTTTCTTTGTCTGCAGATCTTCCGTGGTGTTTACGTTCTGCGGCTCGTCCACACGTTCGATCGAGGCATCGCTCGACTGCTCCTCATCCTGAGATTTCATCCTCTTTTGATTCTTCTCGTTCGAATCGAAGGAGCATTTAGGATGTCGTTTCGAGAGAGAAGAATATGATTGACTTCGAGATTGACCTAGTTCCTTTAACGGAGGATACGCAAGGGAGTCTAAGCGTTTGTTTAGCTCCACCGTCACGTTTTTCACTACTTCTTTTGTAATCGTAGACACCATGTCCTTCTTCATCTGCAAAACAATAAGATTAATTATTTCAGTAAACAAGGACAAGGATATATTCGGTTAGTAGATATCACTTACCGCTTCCATGTATTTGATGAACCACGGAGGAGCCACCGTCTCTGAATAACGTAATGAAGCATTCGATTCTTTTTTAATTTTTATATCCTCTAATTTTGTTTGTTCCTCGCTCGTCACATCGCTACTCGATTCGTCACGTCGCTTTACATCTAATTTCTTTCGATTCAATAGTACTTTCTGAGTTGGACGCTTCCGTTTGTCAAATTCAAAATTCGGTTCCGACACAGAACCGTCACTTTTATCATTAAAGGACGAGATCGGATCATCATTGATATTTTTCGACTCTTTGTTCGGACGGGTCTTGTTCTTTCCAGAATTTTGCTTGTTGCTGAACAATGTGGACATGTTAAAAGAACCCACAATCAACGGAATTGCTGTGTTTACCATAAAAGCGTTTTTTGCGAGCTAAAACAAAAAAATTCGAAATCTTTAGACTTTGATTTCAACATACACTGCGAAGTTAAAATTACTGCTAAGTCTTGTCTCAATTCTAAGAAACAGAAACTTTCATATAAATCAAGTAAGAAAAAGATCCCTTCTTTTCTGATTTTATTTATTCATATAGCGGTCTATATATAGAGATTATTTTATTGTTTATAAAATAATTCGCATATCAAATGTCATTTTACATCTGATAAGTTTCAATTTAGTTTCCACTTGATAAATTTTTGTTTAATAATAAATACGAAAATTTTAATATATTTCTTTGAATATTATGTTTCTTTCCACATTCCACTATTATCTCATAGAGATATCGCTACCCGAGAAAAAATGTTTTATATATAATTTTATATATTTGTTTATAAATGGACATATTTTATATACATATAATTATACACAGATAAATTACATTTCTCAGTAATCTATATGTTAACTTGTCGAAAGTTCGTAACAATTATTAGGAGTAAAAAGGATAACAATCCTCTTTGATTAGGAGAATATATTTAATAAGAGGTGGCATAAACAGAATTCTATTTAAATTTCGCGCTCAAGAGAATTCGAAAAAGAGAAATCGACCGAACTAAATTGCGCATTCAAATTTGAGTTTTAATATATCTTATCCTTGTTTAATATTGGATGAACAACAAGGATAAAGAATAACTCTGGTAACGTTTTCAAATGCAGCGAATGGGAAGAAAAGTTGTTCAAGTTGTAGAACATGACGGAAAATAGAACAATTTCAATCGAGCGCGAAATTTGAATCGGATTTAAAGCCTGCGATTTAATTTTCGCCAAAATTCAAAATATTTCATTCTAATAATTCGAATGATTTTTCATGAATATCGGAGAAGTCACTTTGAGTTCGGTCCTCATATCCAATTATTTTGGAAGGAGATATAAATACTTTAATGCGCAGCTCAAAATGAAGTACAATTATAATTATAATATATATGTGTGCGTGTGTGTGTGTGTGTGTGTGTGTGTGTGTGTGTGTGTATATAAATGTATGCACACACACCACATATACATATATACAGTATACATCTGTGTGTGTGTATATATATATATATATATATATGTATACAACGCGTACCTTCAACGCCTCGTCAAACTCGCATTCCGAATCGATTGGAACTTTGTCTCCGTCATCGTCGATGTAGAAGATGCGTCTGTTTCTCGGCACTTCAAACAGCTTCCACTACAGACATGAAACTCGGCGTCATGCGTCATTCATGTTAATTACATATACATATAGGGTGTCCCGAAAAATGTATAATTCAGTAACGGAGACTTGTCGATCGATTGCTATGTATTTTCTAGATCCTGACGTGCGAAAAAACTTAACTTTTTAACGTTACTTTAAATAATGGACAAATATTTGGACGCATGGCGCTTTAAAACTTATGGGCTATAAATCCGTACTCGATGCGCGCAACAGAATGAGACTCACCAGCTGCGTCCGCATAGTCTTCAAGTTATAGTTGTGCGAGCGTGGAATGATGACAACAGCTTCGTGGTCCCAAAGGCTGAAGCCCTCCTTCATCAGGAAACAGTAATATTCCTCGGAGTCGTTGGACAATTTCATTGTCGTCGACGTCGTCGACATGGTCGCTGTCGACGGCAGTAACTGGCAATAACGCGCTCTCACGCTATTCCTAATGATTCGTCGGATTTTGGATTTGCGCAAGATGGAGCCGCTCGGAATCTGCGTGAATCTGCAGCCGCGGTGTCCGACACCATCTGACACTGTCTCCACGTCCGGACGTCAATCGGACGTCAACGTTTCTCCAACGTTTTCCCCTTCGACGACGGTCTACGACACGACACGTAACGGTTTCGTAATGTGGGCGATACGTAATACGTTATTACGGAACGGTCAACAGCAGCAACGAGAGAAGCATTGCTGGTACAACAAACGGTCCAATGCAGCGGCGTTCACCCAATGTTGACGAAACAGAGCCGAACAGCCGAGTCAGCCGAGTCAGCCGAGAACGCCGAGAACTGCCGAAAGGGCCGAAAGCTATTTCACGATCATGCGCAAGCGGGGACGAGTGGACGTAAACCCCTTCCCCGTTGCACTTTCAAATATCCGGGACTGTCCGGGGCTCGGATCCGGGATCGAGCTCGAAAACCGTTTTCCTTTGTTCCCGTTTGTTCCTAGATCTTTATTTCGCACCTAAACGACCTAAAGCTGGTTCTACATTAGACGCGAGTCACGCGAACCGATCGCAGGTTTGTTACGACAGTCAATTTGAAGCATCGTTATAATTAAAAAAATGCAAGCTCCAAATTGGCTTTCGCAACAATCTTGCGATCGGCTTGCGTCATTTAATGTAGAATTCCAGTTTGACGCGCAGCGTATGAAGGTAGACACTTTATAAAATAAACAATTTATTAATAAAATAATAATACATTTATCTATAACTTGCATCTGTCTTTTTTACGCTAGCTTTTGATTAGTAGGAGTGAAAATAATATTTCGTGTAATTCGTGTATAATTTATAAGTAGACGGACGTTGCAAGGTAAGATTATAATTTCAATATGCGATTAAGTTTAATTCAATCGACAAATAATTCCCTACTCTCCGGGGGGGGGGGGGATAGATAAACGCGCACAATCATGCTACAAATTCGCTATACGTCAATAGTCTATTTGTACGCAGATTGTCCTTTTAATAGTGTTCTCTGCTTATACGTTTAATGTACTCGTGTAATAATATATGTCATAGTGTCGGCACAAGACTAGAAACATATAATATTCATGCTTTAACATATCGTCACACTCATCAGCTAAGGTACATTAATCGCTTAATAATGTACTAGCGTCGGGAAAAGGAAGAACTCTTTATACCACTTAGAGATCTTATGCCACATGCCTGTATTGTTAGCGTAAACGGCGAATAGAGAAGGATTTTGTAACAGCTACAACGTAAAACGAGGAGGGGCGAGACACCACGCGATACACCTCCCATTAGTTCTCTGCATTTAAATCCTCGCATTAAATAGACATTTAACATTTCGCTAAAATAAATAGTAGCTCTGCATTTGACTTAAGATTAATAGCGATTAGATTCCCTTTACACGGCTAACAATGACCATTATCGATAGAAAAATAAAATATATTGTCCTTTTAAGCCAACAAATGTTACGCGTGTGTATGTCTGTACGTGTACGTGTGTTTGCACGTGTTATGTATATATCTATCGGCAACTGCCGAAAGAGAACAGTTTCCTCGCAGCAAGCACATTTTCATAATTATAATTCGTAAAGAAACGCTGCATTTCTAAGGATGGAAAACTTGACAACTTAATTTATGTATGTTTGCACGGCTCGTGCAATTGACTTTCTTGTATCACATAAAGCAGAAGATAATTTGGGACTGTTACTTTAGATTAGAATAACACAACGCATAACAGTATATTTTATATACTTTCAAACAATTTTCTCTTCAGTTCGGATGAAACTACTTGGTGTCACTTAGCATACGTTACAAGCAATCGTAAAATAATTAATAAGGAGCTTGAAATTTCTAATTAATTTTTTTCAGAAGAGAAATTTGTTGTAACAAAGATTCTGATAAAACATATCGTTATTTATAAACGAATTTGCCAGAAACTCGTTATCTCGTTTAATCTATCTAGAAATAGTACAACACAAACTTAAATCTTGACGTTGTTTGTCACAATCTCATTGCAATTTCAAAAGAAAATATTTGCAATGATAAAAATGTGACGTATAGTATTCTGTTCCCCACGTGTAAAACGGATACGTTCTGCGGAACACTGTTTAGTGTAGTACTTATGCTTGTATACCCTAAGACAGATGTACAAGAGTTAAGATTTTGCGAAATATAATCGTGTAATTATACAATAATATTGTATATAACTTTCCATATATATCCGACCAATGCTAAACAGATTCGAATAATCATGGACCGTCCCAAATTAACAGTCGTAGTTCTTTTTTTTTTTACTTTCAAGGGAGTATAATCTCGGACGATAGACTTTGGTATACCATTGCTCAAGCAGCACGCATATCCGATGAATGTATCGCGCGCGCGATCGTATATATCTATCAAGTGTTCACCAGATATCCGAGCTGTATGTGCAGCCGGTGTTGAGTCATAGAAAAATAATTGCGATCGTGCGGCAACTGCCTACTATGAAAGTACAAACTATAGTATGTCGCGATATTAGAAAACTGGGTGTTCTCACATAGACGCGGTTTTGATCGATAATTCACTGCCCATCGGATTCCATTGCTTCCCCTCATAAAATCGTAGTAAAACAATGACTGCGTTTAGCAGAGAAAACTGCTTAGTGAGCGCTTTGTGCAATGATTAAATTATATTTTTATATTTGAGTTGAGGTAGAACCATTTCTCTAGATCTAAAAATATAATCCAATTAATACAAAGTGCTTATTAAGCTGCTTTTTTTTTTATTGAACGCAGCCAATGTAACGTTTTGCAGAACTGATGTCGCCCTCATGTGTGTTATGGGGAAAAAGACGATATGAACTCTATCGTCTTCTTTTACAATATATTTCTTGTAATATAACTAAAAAAACTGGTGTTTTTAGGGTTGAACTTCCTTGACGAAGCACCATCGGCATTTCGTAAGATCGATTCGATTCACCAATTCGACGATGTCGATAGTGACTGCGACAAATCGCAGGTACTAAATACACCCGCATAAAACGCACACTTATTGATTCGTTTGTCGTGCTCCGATTTCATTTAAGCGTTTCTGCTCTCTTACTTCCGGAACAAAAAATGACATCGGTCGTTTTGGTATCGAACCGAAATCTCTTCTTTCTTATCTTCTTGTAAAACGCGTCGCTTCTCTCTTTCTCTCTCATCGCGCCATATATAAATATTAAAGTTGTATACACTCAATATAATAGATAAACGTTTCCGATATGATATATTAACAGTGAGCTAAGCACCGGGAAAGATTTCTTCAGATCGCGCGCGTACGGTTTTTACTTTTTCTACTTTATTGAAACTATATGTGGTCCTCTTCTTTGTTGCTCTGTATCGCCGGCGTCGCCGGAGTAGGATCGTCATGGAACATCGGGTTCTTCACCTCCATCTCGCCCGTCTTTAACAAAGTATCGAAAGCCGCTCTTAAGATAATATTCAAAATTAAGACAGAGATTTGAGATTCTGAGTTCATTCTGAGACAGGAATTATGATTCTTTATATGCGACACTCACAGATGCAAGTCCTGGACATTCGTAAACGGTATAGTCACCCTCCTCATTCTCTTCATCGCTCTCCGCTTCCGAAAGGGAACCCGGATCTCTCGTTGCAGAAGTACGACTACAGCAGATGTGATTTGTTAAACGTTACTTTCAAAATAATATTATCCTAATAATTTCTGAGATTTGTATGAAATGATGAATATCGTCGAGAGATATATGTTTATTTTTTAGCAATTATATCAAATATTATAGATCATCTTAAGAATGACCACATCTAAATTAAACTCACTTTTCCATGGCAATAATTTGTTGTTTCTGATGTTGGAAGTGATACATCTGAGCAGACTGGGCGAGCCTTTGATCCCCGGAAGGCGATACATCTTTGTTCGGTCCCGTCACACCGTAAGCAGGATACTCTATGTCCGCTGCAGCTTTCGCACCGCGTTGTAATCTGAAAAATATGATCCCGCAAAAAAAATGAAACGTGATGCTGTAAAGCAAGCTAAGCGACAAATTATTGTGATCGGCATTACCTGCACCACGTTAAACTAATCAATACTAAAGCAAACATCGCAGCTGCACTGCAACCGGCCACAATGGCTGAAAATACATACGAAATATCACGTTGAATCGCATTAATTGATAAAATCTGATAATTCTTTTACAATTCTCATTTTGGTTGCTTACCAATAAAATAAATGTCATTGTTGAAATTCTGATTTATGGGCACGATCACCGGATGAGGTGCCGCAAGTCTATCCTGTTCCGACACGTCGAGTCTTGCGGTTAAATCCGTCTCCTGCTTGACATTCCGCATGTCATCTTCATGTTTTACCAATGTTCGCTCTTTATTCGCAGTTTTTTCTTCCTTCAAATTCATTCTCGACGTGTCTTGCCAATCTAAATCATCTACGTGTTGCACAGGAAAGGAAAAGTGTAATGCTACTTATAGTTTTTAAGAAAAAACAAAGAATAAAGACAGCTGACAGGAACTGCACTTGTCAACAGGTCAAAGTGATTTAAAAAGGGAGAGTTTAAAAAAAGAATGGATTAAATATAAGCGGAGTAATTATTGATGCTTGTATAGTCTAACGTAATTTAACCCTTCCAAGACTTAATAATAATGTTCTCAAATTCGATTCCGTAAAAGGAAATTATCGTGTAAGATAAAAATTAATTGTAAATAAAAAATAATGAATAATAATGAAATAATTTACACATCAGTAACCTTGAGATTTTTTAAAAGAAAAAAGTAAAAAAACGTATTTAAAAAATAATAATACATTTTTTAGTTTTAAATTGAGATTTCTTCCATATTGATTACATATAAAAAAAGTTAAATAATAAGATTTTACTTATTTTTCATTTTGCTCAATAATTATATATACATTTTTTTTAATTAAAATATCAAAAAGTGTCGTGTCTAATTTTTCGAAGAAATATGGAATATATGTAGATAGATAGAAATTTATTAATAAATCCTGTTTAGAGTTATGTGCATCAAAATTAAAAGCATTACTCTAAAGAATTCTATAGAAGAATAAAAGGCAAATTATTGGATCAGGAATGTTTACCTGACGAAAATGGTTCCTCGCTGTAGTATCTAGGATCATTCGGTTTCACCGCAAACGGATGCTTCTCCTTGAGATTCGAGTCATCGAATTTATATGTGAATTCTGGTTCAGTCGCTCCCGATGTAGCTGCCGTTGCTGGACGTATAGGTGCTGCTTCCATTCCACCCTCATGATGGAACGTTCCGTGATTGAAATCTACGTACTTTTCTTGAAAAGAGTCTAATGTGGACTCCATTGGTTCTCTATTCACATCGAAAATTTTCCCGTACCCGAGATCTTTGGAGAAACGGCCATCGTTTTCACTCGGCTGTTTTTCTTCGGAGTAAGTCGGACGCTTGAGATCTAGATTGTAATAAGACAAAAGGTACTCCGGTTCCGTAATCTGATTCTGACGATAATGCTGTGTCAACCATGTCAAGAAATTCTGCTCCTTTTTATCGGAATATTTTCTATAGAAAGGACTTAAGACCTCGCGCTCCTCCTGATGGTCCAGCAGATTGTTATACTTCTTGTGCATCGGCGAAAGAAATGTGGGCAGGTGCGACCGATAAAGACGCTGCTGAAGACGATGCGCCTCCAGATAACGGGCCAACTTCAGCGCAACATCCTCCGACGTTTCCGGGAGCGCATCTATGTAATGTCAATTTGAGAAAATAGCGAATATATATTTCCGCATTTATCGATTCGTACAACCCTCTAATTATCAGCTTTATTTTAATACATCAAATTCTAATTCTAATATAAAACTCGCTTTCGGTATCAAACGAGAGATGAAAGTTTTAATATATTAGTCCAAAGTTTAATCCAATAAATATTACGAACTAAAATAACGTGAAAATAGCGAACGTTACTGAAGTTGTATCCAACTTGAAATTATTATCTCTGAGTTTCCTACCGCTTTCGTTATACATGTAATCGGGTTTCCTGTAGCCACCGATACGCTGGCATTCTACGATAACACCGCCCAGTATAATTATTCGTATGCTAGTTAAATCTTTTTAAATGTGTTTGTATTACGAATACATAAAATTTTACGCTTATATATAAATCATTATATGTCAATTGATCATCGGTAAGAGTTGAAGCGAACTGTAATCGCATCACAAACAATCCCGCAATTTACTCTTGACCTTCAAGTCTTAATTACGCTTCGAGAACAAAAAATACTATAAACGATCATCGGATTATCCGTTCATTATTCTCGTTTACGCAATGTATCATAAGGGGATGGAATTTCGATATTGTTGTATAATACGAATTATATAATAAGTTTTTTATACTACATATGTTCGAGAAATTTGTACTGAATTTTTATTTAAAAGGATCGAAAAGAAGTAAGATTCTAAAATCATCTCATTCTATTTCGAATAATATTTCTCGATGATAAAAAAATATTCTTAATGATAAAGGGGTCACAAGACGACGATGGTTTATCATAAAAATGATAATAGTTGTTCTTTTTTGTATCAAAATTCTGAATTGATACTGTTATAGAAACAATTTTTTAGATACATATGTTATTTAAAAAAAATCTAGATCATATCTTTACCCTTAAAACATTCTTTGCCCCTTAACATATTTTTTTCTTCGCGAATCGATTAAGCAAATACATTTGTGCGAAACAGTCAATCGATTATATTTTAACATTTGATTAATCAATCCTTACTAATTAAAAATAAAACATGACTATTTTCAAAGGGCTACAAGTGGGTCTTCTTCGTGTCATTCCCCCTGGTAACGTTGTCTCCTAAGGCCGTAGACTCTACCTTACTCACCCCGATAAAAGCTGAGCTCACCGGTGGACAAGCTCAACAGGAGCGGCATCAACGTCAGCCAAGTGTAGCCCCGTTGAAGGAGCATCCTCTCGTCGTCGTCGTCGTCACTGCTGTTGGTCGGCTGCTGAGGGCCCTGCACAGGTCTTATCGTTTCTCTATCCGCGTCTCCATATGCGAGAAAGCACGTCACTTCATTCAGGGCGGACGGTGAGCTTGCGCGATTAGTGCGGCTTCGCAATCAATAACGACCACCACACCGACTTTCACCCTCCCACACCAGCTTCGTCTTGTTCCGACGTTGCGCGAGTACTCCGCACCGCGTTCCTCGAGGACGCGCTTTTCCTCCTCTTCCGCCTCCTCTTTCTCCTCCTATTGTCGTGTACTGCGCCGGCGATTAACATAGACGCATTAGGTGTCATTAAGCAGCTGCCATCCCCACTACTCTACACACCCGCATCCGCACATGTGAGGATTTGTTCCGTTTACAAGATTGCTGTGGTTCCGATTCATTTTGCCTGGACGTTCACCCTTTGGTTCATCCGTTGAATATCGGTAGAATAGAAACGTCTTTCTGAGTTGATAATATACTTGGTAATGCAAAGTTTGTTAGCTGTATATTTCAATGGTGAATGCTGTTTTTGACCTGTTATGCTCCAGAACTACAGAGAAAAAGAATATTGTCAAATATTAATGATAACGTCGAGGCATTTTTTAATTTATATTTTGGATTTAAATGTTTAAGGAGAAGATACGTGCCTGAATGTCTTAATGTTCTTAAAACACAACGTTTCATTTCGTAATAATTATTTATTTAATCGAGATACAGATAATCGAAATAAAAATACATCAGTCCTTAACGTTTGATATGATCTCATCCTTTTGATTCCTTTGAATTCCTTTGATTTTGTTTTTGAATTATATCAATTCGCTATTTATTTAGTCGTTTACAAATTGATTACAAATAGTCGTAATCTTTAATCACATCGATAGACTAACACATCTAATTAACATGTCACATAAACAATGATTCGACACCTTATATCCAAAGTATGCCAAAATTCTCATATTTTTATATTCTCTGCTTTCGTCAATTTAATTATTCATCATAATTGTAAACAAAATAATAAGGCGGTACAAAAAATCAATTTAGCTATAAATTTAACTATGCCAAATCGATGATCACACCGCCTTAATTGTCGTCCAACAAAGACTCGTCCGTTACGAGCAATCGGATCGGCTTGCGTTTTTCCTCTATATTTTGCTTTCGCCTGCGATTTATTACGCCGTCGGAAGCATCCATCATTCGCAATATTTGTGTTTGGTCCGAGCAGTCCACTGGTGCAACCGAGATATCCCGTACTGCTCTAAACTTGCCACAATTGTTCAAATGCTCGTTTTCTAAGCGGAAGAAGTTCCACACGAAACGTCTGTCAAGAAAACATGTAGATTACGCGATGACCCAGTTTCTTTTCATATCGTAATGTTAATATATGGATATATATCGTAGAGTTTGTAATATATGTTCACAAAAACTTCATATGAAATTCATTATAATGAACGTGCATAAACAATTGCATAATGAAACGTCGTGCATCCAATAAGCAAACAATATTGTACAGTAAAAAAACGTAATAATATTTTTGAATTTAAACAAATAAAAAATATATAAAATATATAAACATAAATAAAAAATTAAAATAAAAAGATAAATTACAACGTATCAGACATCGTGATCATGGGTCTCCACTAATCCATCATCATTGTTATCGTCGTCTCTGTTATCGTCATTCTCGTTTACACTATCCAGATGGATTACGTTATCTTCAACGCGTCTGATGGGCCCTATGGAGATATTTCGCACCGCTCGGAACTTGCCTACGTTGTATAGATGCTCGTTCTCCAGTCGAAAGTAATTCCACACGAACCTTCTAGCGACTTATTAGTAAGGCACATTGATAAGCGATTAGATTGGTCAGTCTATCGTCGATTAAGTCGCTGCTTTTGACTTTCGACAATCAATTATTTCGTTACAAAATGCAAACATTATCGTAAGATCACGAAAGATAATTTTGAGAGAATAATTGATTCTTAATTATATGTTAATATTTTATAAATCAATCTAAATTTAAAAATAATTTTTTTTTAATTTATTAATTTTTTTTCATTTATAAGTTGTGGAAATAAAGCAACAACTCATTTCTAAGTTCATATATAATGTTCTTGGATTTTGCTTTTAAAGTATTGAGACATTTACGAATTATGTGCGCATAATGTGCGTGCAAATCATAAACTTAAATATTAATACTTGATTAAGCATAACAAAACAACGATAAAAATCGACGATTTGCAATCATTGAGCTAGTATAACTATTTTTTGCATCAATTTTAACATATTTTCTACGTGCATTCAATATTAAAATACGAATAGAAACATATATTTACCTGAAAACTTCTAACGGGGCAACTATAGAAACCATAAGGTCCGCGTGAATATAACCCATTTCTGTTAGAGACAAAGAAAATGCCCATCCAAATCGCAAGATAAAATCTTCGACCATCGCAAAGTAGTAATAATACTGCAAAATGGAAAAGACTGTGATAAATCATTAATTAAATAAACAATTAATACATTATAAATACATTATAAATAAACAGTTAGTACATTAGTTGTCATCAATATCATTAATATCCGAGCGTATAATATAATAGAATTTAATATAGAAAAAACATACAGGTGAGGAATAAACTATCTCTTCTCTGAGAAACTTATTTTCTCCAGCACTGCTATCGAAGAGGCCCCAATCCAATTTTACATCCCATGTATATGTAAAACAAGAACTCACTACACTGACCGTCAGCCATAAATAAAAATAGGGATTTTCAGTAGACAGTGCGTAGTATTCTATTTAATAGAACAACCAGTTGAGTTAAGAAATAGACAATACTTAATATTCGTTATCTAAGTAAAGTACTTACTCTTGTTTGTTAAGTGCAAATAAGCGAAAATAACCACAAAAAAGCTTGTTGCGTACTTGACCGCATTCAATAGATGTGGAAAGGTCTCTTTCGTATCCCGATAACGCCTGAGACATTGTGCAAATCGAAACCATGCCGGTAAACACACCACAAACGGTCTCATCGATAGTTCACGCATTATGCAGGTGTCTGTATCTATTCAAAAAAGAGAAATAAGGATGCGTTAGATATCGAATATCGATTAGAGATATAAATACAAATATAATATAAGGAGGAGGGAGTTTATAGTATGAAAAAGTTATGTACAATAACTAGTGCAGCATGAATGATTCGTTGTATCTATGTAATTAATTACTGACCTGTAACGTCGGTCCAAGAAGAATTCTGGATATAGAAACAAACAAAATATTGAAAGTCTAGAAAAACCGTGTGAAGAGAATTAAGCTGATCAGCGAGCCAAAAATCCGCGAATCCCACATAAAAAAACGGTGCGCAAAAAACGCGACCCAGAACGCGCAGCGTCCAAAATCTTGCCTCGTGTCGTAGAGTCTTGGTGGGATTGAATAAGAACAGTGCTAATAGCGCATAAAACAGCATCTATAAAGAGCTACAATTAATTCCTTGAGAATTGTTTACACTATGAAGAATTGATTATTCGTCGTATTTTAAATTTTTCACAACACTTTTAAAATAAATATCGAGAGACACACACTTATAGAGAAACATGCGTGACCTTACTGGTTGAACAAACGGTGGTATACCCAATGTATCGCTGTATAGAAAACCCAAAATAGACATGGACCAAACCAGACCGAGTATGGTTGCCATTTCGATGATATGCTGAAATTACAATATATGAATTTCGCGATAAATAATCTATTTTTAATTATGAGATGTTAATACAAAATAATTTCAATTAAAATTAATATACAGGGTGTCCGGAAATTAGCGCATCAGAATATCATAGCAAGATAGAACGGACTAAACTGAGTCGAAAAGTCCTGTACCATTTTGCAATTTTCGCAATAGTTAACGAGATATTAATTATTAAAAATCGCTGTGTATGAATATTGGTTTTCAATCATTTTTTATCCAAATACTATCAACTTTACAAAAAAAACTTTACAGCAAGAGACAAAAATTGTTTATTTTTTTCTCATAAAGTTCTGAGAATTTTTTCAGAATTTTTTAATACCGTATTTCCTCATGTCGGTAAAAATAAGAAAATCCAGTACTAAAAAGATGATAAAAAATTTTGAAAAAATTCTTAGAGTTCTGTGAGAAGAAAATAAACAATTTTTGTCTCTTGTAGTTTTTCTGTAAAGTTGATAGTATTTAAGTAAAAAATTATTGAAGACCAATATTTATAGCGATTTTTAGTAATTAATATCTCGTTAACTATTGCGAAAATTGCAAAATGGTAGAGGACTTTTCGACTCAGTTTAGTCCGCTCTATCTTGCTATGATATTCTAATGCGCTAATTTCCGGACACTCTGTATAAGATAAAAGCGAATGAAGTATGACACACATCATACTATAGTTAGTAACAATTTAAATTTTGTTTATTACAGTTATGAGAAAACATATTAATAGCATAAGAACTATTTAAAATTCTGTACAACTCTAATTGACAAATCCTATTAGTATTTAAAATTAGTCATCTCACACTATAACTGTAATCTAAAATATTGATTTTATCTATCGTAAAACCTGTTCTGACAAATGATTGCGTGGATCAAGTTCGAATATCAGCACATGGTTTACGCCAGAAGATCTCCAGCCATAAACATTGATTCCCATCAAAAAGAGGAATTCTATCATAAGAAGTGGCCCACGATAAATTCGACATAGCACTTTCCAGTTATCCTTCTTTTTATATCGCATAGCTGAAAAATTAAAGTCAATGTAATACGAATAAAAGGGAAAAATTTTCATTCTGCTTACCGGATAATATCACAGCCACAAAAAGTATGATAAAAGCACCGGAAAAAAGACCGACTTTAAATGTAATCCAAGGAGAGAGTTGCTCTCCAAGTGGAGGTACTCTGAGCCGTTTCATAGCTCTTTGACGATCGCCATGCTCTAGATCTCGAGTAACTACAGCCTCGGTCTCTGCAATCAATCTATCTATATCCTTGCGTGTATGGAAAATCGCCGTATCAATATGTTCTGCACGCCATTTGCCACCAAAGTCTACATTCAAAAGCTACAAAATATCATTACTTCGTACATATCTCTTCACATCTTACTTACTTACTTGCGTTTCTCAAACATATACAATTAATAATTTAGCTTCTTTATTCTGCATTTAAATTAATTGTACACATACATTGTAAACATAAAATTAAATATAAATCTACATACTTTGTCATGTTTCTTCAAAATTTTTCGGAATCCAGTAAAATTCAAGTCTTGATAATTTTGAAGTAGAATAAGAAAAAGGTAGAATTCGGAGAAGGCTAATTTTAACTCTTGAAGTTTGCGTGCTGATACTGGCTTTTTGTGAAGGATATGACTACGATAGCGCGCCTTACGACTTTGGGCATCCTCGGAAACTGATAAGATCTCGCTTAGTTCGTTGTTAAGTGTGGCAAATCTACGTGTAGCTTCTGCTAGCTTTTCTGAAAACAGAACATGCTTTTCATTTTGTACTTAAATAACTATTATGTTAGATAAAAATACTTCAAATGTTAATGGATCTTACCAGAATAGAAAGTATTTATTTTTGTCAATTCCTTATCACAATAATGGAAAAACTTCTCATCAAACTTGCTGTAGAAACTATCTAAAACGTATGGTTCGCTTACATCTGCGGATGGAGCCTGCTCTACCGCAGCATACAGCAGAGCCTTCATTTCCTGTGTACAATTACATGACATAAAGCGTTATATAAATTTCTTGCAATTAGTTGAGACAATAATAAATGTTAATTAAAATGCAGGAAAGGAGAAAAGTAAAATAAAGAAAAATTACAATCTTCTAAATAATAAAGATAATTAATATTGTATATATATATATAAAATATACAAGATACATGTATACAAAAATAAAACGAGATACAAGAGAAAAATATATACACTGTATATATAGAATTTATTTATTTTTCAATATTGAAAGCACACCTCGTAGTTGATATACTGTTTTCTCCATTCCGGTGTGATGTGAGCGCTTAGATGTTCCGCGAATTTCATGGTGAGGAAGAAAAGATAGAGGAGGAAGAAGAAGACGTCGTGTCAGTGGTTACACGACGACTCTACGTAAACAGGATACTTGAATTGACATATACTCATCAAGATCGTATCGAATTATTTTTGAAGCCCTAGATTCGTCAAGCAACGCATGTTTCGCAGGTATAGTGTACTTATAGGTTATGTCGCGTCATAACCTATGCGCGATTTCTTTACAAAACTGGCGCAATAACCAAGACTTTTTCGCAGCGTTGTTACAAGATATTACAAATTGTTTTTATATACACCGTTGTGTTTTGTATTAAAAAATGAAGAAAACTTCTTGTGAAGGTTATGACACACAGTAAACAATTTGTGATCCACGTGTATCATATGTTGCACATAGATTTTTAAATATTTTCTCTTGTTTCCGTACAGTACATTTAAGTATTTTGATGAGAAATGTGCTGAGGAATGTAAACTGATTGTTAGATCGTAAACATAATTTTTTTAAACGTAAATATGGTAAAGTTAATTGTACCAAGAGTACGTTGCATAAAATTCACATCCTTACGATATGTAAGTATGATATGACGTCTATAAATTGAATTTATATATATTTAAAAGAATTGACGTGATAATGAGACCTGTATTCAGTTTTCAGCAAAACCAAAAGCTGTACTTGATGATACAGTATTTACTTCAGTCTCTAATAATGAAATAAAATATAGGCATCATCCAGGTATCGTTACTCCTAGAACACCAGTGTTTCCACAATGGGCATTCAAAGAAATACAAAGTATCTTAAAAGGTATAAATTATACAATGCATACTTATCTAGTTCTTACATTTAAAATATTTATAAAATATTTTATTGTTAATTATTACTTTGTAATACTATACTTCTAGAGAGTCAAATAGTCATGAAAGAAATTAATGAGAGTACAAAGAAATTAATACATCACTTGAATAAACGCCATCCACCATTAGAACAACATGAGTTACCAGCAAAATTACAGAAAGTAGAAGAACATTTGAATATTAATAAGTGTGATAAAAAGATATCGATAGAGGATATAGATTTCCGTAAAGATAGAAAGTCCAGGATGATTTTGAAGCAAAATGTTTATAATTGGCAACCAATACGCTTCGATAAACTCACTTCCCTGACGTACCTGGCTGGCAGAGGTGTTCAGAATTATGCGGTTTTGCGTAAGATTTTCGACGAAATTAAATTGCGCGACAAGGATTTCAGGCCTCAAACATTATTTGATTTTGGCTCTGGTGTTGGCACAGTCATGTGGTAAATATAAAATATTGATTTTTATGATTTTAAAAACCTAGAACATAATACAAAATTGGTTAGAGTAACGTTAAAGAAATCTTTTTATTCTATAGGGCAGCATCTGAGATCTGGTCGAAAACGTTAAAAGAATACTTTTGTGTTGAAGTATCGGAATTCATGATTAAATTGTCGGAAAGATTAGTGAAAGCTGCAGAGCCAAAAATCAAAGAAGTTTTCTATCGTCAATATTTTCCTATCTCGACGAACGTAAGAATAACATAAAATGTTATACATGTTAAAGTTTTTGTTGAGAAAATATAATTTGATAAATATCCATTATTTTTAGCGAACATACGATATCGTAGTGAGCGCATACACTTTATTTGAGTTACCGGATATGGAATCGCGTATCGACACAATATTAAAGCTTTGGACAAAGACTAACAACTACCTGATTATTGTAGAAGAAGGAACCAATGCAGGTTTCAAAGTAGGCATATTCAATATAATTTTACTCTCTACATATATTTTGTAAAATTCTCATCCTTGTTCCTTTTTTTTAAAGCTAGTAAATGAAGCGCGAGATTTCGTTCTCAAATACGCAAATTCGAAACGTAGACGCGAAACGCAATTTGCTCATGTTTTCTCACCTGTAAGTATCTATTAGATAAGAAATCCGAACGCGATGCATTGATTGTCTCTTAAATCTGTTATATTATTGTTGCAATTTAGTGTCCACATGATTTGAAGTGTCCAAGATTTGCCACCGACGATACTCCGTGCAATTTAAGAATTCTTTATCACCCATTGCAATTTTTGGGCGGTCGGCAACACGAATCAGAGCTATATTCTTACGTTGTATTAAAGAAAAGTAAGGAAAATAAAAATAAAAATAAAAACAAATTTGTTATTTAAATCACGTCTTACAAAAGACGCGATAGAAATTATACACTGACATTAATCATTAAGTTTTATCGAGATGTTACGTTATATCCTTTCCAATACAAAATACATTTCTTTTTACAGGCAAACGTCCTGAGAACGATGAGCAATGGCCAAGGATTGTGCGAGCTGTGCTAAAACCTTCTAATCACACGATCTGTCGCATGTGCACTAAAAGTGGAGAGCTAAAAGAGGAGATATTTACAAAATACAAACATGGAAAGTATGTATCTATTAAATTGTGTTTGAGTGTACAATTACATGAAATCCTTTTATTGCCAGGCATATGTACCGTTGTGCGAGAGAGAGTGAATGGGGCGATAGATTACCTCTGCATTATGAACAACAGCAAGAAAATTTAAAAGAAATTGAAACAGTTAGTGAAACGGCTACTGAAAATGAGAATACGTTGAATGAGGAGAAATAAAGTTTCATTAAACGTTTTTAATTCGTTGTTTTTTTTATCATATATATACATCCTTTAAACTTTATTAAATATGAAGACCTGATATAGCGATAAAAATTTCGACTTATTTGGGAAAATTGTTAAATAATAATCTACACATTGTTATAATAAAGAGATAATTCTAATATACAAAATTCTCATTTTTTTTTTAAATTAAGACTTCAATTATTTTAAAGTAATATTTATCTTTGCTATATTAAATTGCATATCGCCGAAATTGTAGCGAATCAGATTTTTATCAAAGTTTGCCACTTTCCTATTTCGGTTGGACATTAGTTTAAGACTCGTTGATACATTACATTGATGCTACATCATCGATTTTGCGAGAAGCGTATGTGATGAAGAGGGGCATTTAAAAGCGGACCGAAGACTGGTCCACGGCCAGTCCCGCTTATACAACGGACGAGAAAATTTCTCCACAAGTACAAGGTAAGATAAATTCAAAGTTCGCAAAAGAAGAGAAGAGCCGATTCTCTCAATCAATTTTTTCAAAATTTTTTTCTTACAATGCACTCAGCAGAATGATTTTTAAGTAATAGCTTTTAAGTATAGCTTTATTTATTTGTCCGATGTATGAAATATTTATTAATTTAATGATTTTTATAATCAATAAAATTTATTGTTGTGTGAAAAGAGTAAGTGTTATAAAGACAAGATGTTATCGTCAAATTCCACTATTATATTTCAAATACTGGTCAAAAATTTTAAGTTATTAATTTAGAGATTCTGATATTAAAAAACATTTTATGTTTTTCTTTCTAAACTTCATCTGATACATGTAATATTGTAAGAGTAAAAGAAGATAATATGTGCATTATATCTTAATCAATCTTTAAAAAAATAATTGCAACTTTTAAATATAATTTTCAAATAAAATGTAAAATAAGTAAAGTGAACTGTGTGTAAGTATTTATAATAATTCGAATCAGTGCGTTTTATATATTTCAATTAATCTTTAAAACAATTAATAATTTGAAAAAAAAGGGATCACAAATTAGATATAATTTAAAATTTAAAATTATAAATGTAAAATACGTAAATTGAAATATATAAAATGTAAGTGTTTGTAATAATTCGAATCAGTGCATCGTGCACATTGTGATACTCCGAATGCATCAAGAGATGTCAACTTGAATTCCAAAGTGGATGAAGTTGAAATAAGAATTCGAAAGTGACGATGAGTACCTTGCAATAAAAGTACTAAAATATGCTTCGATTACGCAACTTATGGGATAATAAGGGTGACGGCGCATTTGCGCAAGTAATGTGCCGATTCTTCCGTGTGCAACTTTCTCTTACGAGAGTACAAGTGTTTCACTTTTCTCTCCGAAACTCGTTTATTATACGCGTACTTGTGCGTACATTTGTATCAATGTGTGTGCATATCCGACCGGGAATACAAAATACCGATTTAAATACCGATTGCACGAACTTAATGTCTAGTAAAAGTAGGCGACTCGAAAAAAATTGAGAGAAAACACATTTCCTGAAATTGATACTTTTTATAAAACAGATCTGTTCCACAATTATTGGATATATTTTGCTTTGCTTCTTTTTATGTTATTTTTATTTCCATTTTTTTTTTAAAGATAACATCGCTAAATATAGAAAATATTATATTATGGTAATATTTTATTAATGTTACAGATTAGATTTACAAAGATGCTCGCCACAGCGATGCTACTGGCAATAATCATATTGTTATTGCTGTATTTAAGCTGTCAAAAACCGAAAGGATACCCACCAGGTAAAAGCCGAGTCTTGTTAAGAATTCTTTTTTCTTCTTGTTTTATATAACTAATATTTTTTATCTTCAGGTCCAAGATGGTGGCCCATTCTGGGCTGTGCATTGGAAATAGCACGTATCCGTCAAGAGACCGGATATCTCTTTAAGACTTGTTCGACGCTTTGCAAGAAATACGGTTCTGTGGTGGGCCTGAAGATCGGTCAGGACCGCATCGTCATTATGAATGATCTAGAGAGCATACGAGCAATGCTGACCAACAAGGATTGTGACGGCAGACCAAACGGACCATTTTTTAAAGCCAGAACTTGGGGTGTTACACTGGGTAAACTACCTGTCTAGAAAACAAATAAGATATATGTTGAATTTTGAGAGATAATTATATAATAATTTGTGATCAGGTCTCCTCGTAGTAGATGACAAACTATGGGTGGAGCAACGGCGTTTCGTTATACGACATTTGCGAGACTTTGGCTTTGGTCGTACCAGCATGGTCACAATCATCGAGGATGAGGCGTTAAAGCTGGTGGAACATTTCAAAAAAATGCTTACAAAAAGCTATAATTATGAAACTGCTGATGCACGAAAAATGATAACGATAAATAATGACAATATTGGTCAGATATACAAGCTGCAGAAAGATCCGAAAAACGAGCTGAATGAATTGAAGCTGTATGATGAATTTCATGTATTCAAGGATAAAATCTCTTATCGTAAACCTCGTACAGTGGCGGACTTGTACATGAAGGCCGAAGATTACGCAGAAGTTAGAAAAGTCTCTCAATCTGCAGGGATGATCATATCGATGCATGACGCCTTTGGTGTGACTGTGTTGAACACCCTTTGGAGGATGATGGCTGGTAGAAGGTTCACATCGATCACGCGGATTATTCCTATTCTTCCGCTATAAAATTTAAGAAACATACAAAGAATTTATTGTTAACGTCGATAATTTCTGTTTTTTACAGGTATGATGCTGGCGACAAGGAACTTACGCACTTACAACGAATCCTCACAAAGCTTTTGAAAGAAATCGACATGATTGGTGCACCTTTCAGTCAATTTCCATTATTACGTTTTATCGCGCCGGAAATGTCCGGTTATAAAGCATTTGTAGAAACACATCAAGAACTTTGGGCATTTTTAAAAGTGAGTGGATATGTATTATCGATGTATCATTAGATCGTTTTATGAACTAGTGTCTCGATGTTCGAAGATAATTATTGAAAGTTAATAATGCCTATTTTAGGAAGAATTGTATAATCATAAAAACACATTTTTATCAAATGCACCGCGAGATTTGATGGATGTCTACCTGACTGTGCTAAATTCGAAAGATTGTAGCGATACATTTTCTGGTACTTAAAAGCATACAATTTACAAATACATTATTATCACTAAATAATAGTTTTATACAATAATAAAATAATTTCAGAGTCCCAGTTATTGGCGATTTGTGTGGATCTCTTCATAGCGGGTTCCGAGACAACTTCGAAAGCACTTGGCTTCGGATTTTTAAATCTAATATTGAATCCGCATATTCAGAGAAAGGCGCACGAAGAAATAGATAGAGTTACTGGCCGTAACAGATTTCCCACGTTGGCTGACAAACCAAAGTAAAAACATCATTGTAATCACTCTTGCATATCTATAACTACGGAAGAATTAATCACGAACAAGAATTATTTTCGAATATTATATTCTTACTTTTTAGAATGCCATATGTTGAAGCCATCGTTCTGGAATCCATAAGAGTATTCGTTGGCCGCACTTTGGGCGTCCCGCATAGAGCGTTAAAAGATACTTCTATCGTCGGTCATAAGATACCAAAGGTAACATTATAAAAGATTTAACATTTTATTTTAAAATAAGAAGTGCCACGAACGGTCTGAACGTTAAGATGTTGAACTATTCTAAATTTTATTTTAGATGAATTAATTTCAGAAATTAAAGCGGTCTTCCAATCTTATTATTGTTTAACATTTTATAAATTAAAAAGATACGAATGGTTGTTATATGTAACATATGTAAAATATGTACATATCGTCGTTTCCAGGACACAATGCTCGTTGCAAATTTCAATGGAATACTCATGGACGAATCCTGGGATGATCCGGAAGATTTCCGGCCGGAGAGATTCCTCGATAATGATGGCAATATCATTACGCCAGAAAAATATTTTCCTTTCGGCATCGGTATGTTTCCTTCTCCTTGATATATATATTACTATAAATCTTATAATTATCAGGGCAGTGCTAAGTTAAAAAGATAAAAGTTCAGTTAAAAAAGTTAAAAAGTTTAATTTTAACTTAACTTACAAGGGAACCTCGCGAGTCAAATTCTGATTTTAATGAAACTTTGTGAACTTGTAGCTTACATAAAGAGAATTTAGGAAATATCAATTGTGATGGAAAAATGGATTGAAATCACCCCTTACGTGTACAGCGATTTTCAGCTTTTTCCATTATATCTCGAAAACTATTCAAAAAATGTTTTATACAAGTTTTACAACAAAATTAGTTGTATTCATTCACTCATTCGCGTCAATAATATAAAAAAAAATTTTTTTTCGAAAATTTTGAAAAATAATTTTTTTGTGTATTATTGACGCGAATGAATACAACTAATTTTGTTGTAAAACTTGTATAAAACATTTTTTGAATAGTTTTCGAGATATAATGGAAAAAGCTGAAAATCGCTGTACACGTAAGGGGTGATTTCAATCCATTTTTCCATCGCAACTGATATTGTCTAAATTCATCTCTTTATGTAAGCTACAAGTTTACAAAATTTCATTAAAATCAGAATTTGATACCTCGCGAGGTTCCCTTGTCAGTTACATTTTAGACTCTTAACTTTTTAACTTAATTTAGTTGGTTACATTTTAGTGGTAACTATTAACTTTTAATTTGATTTTTTTGAAGTCAATCCTCAGACACAATGCGAGAGGATAATGAATATATGATTTAATAATTATTATTTTATATTGTATAATCGTTACTTGTGAACAAAAATAACCAGATTCTTTAATAAATATGCTATGAGAAAGGAAAAATACGAAAAGTTACGTAAGGTCAAATTTTTTCTTTTTCTTTTTTTTTTGGTTGTTCGTTCGGACCAAATTTAACTTTTAACTTTTCAATTACTTTTTTTTATTAACTTAACTTTTAATTAATTTCATTATGGATTAACTTGTATTTTAATTAAGTTTTCAAGGCTGTTAACTTAGTTTAAAAAAAAAGTTAACTTATCACCCTGATAATCATATATCAAATCTAAGCACAATCATAAGCTCAATTCCAAGTGTGAATAATTTACATCTTACAGGCAAACACCGTTGCATGGGAGAAACATTAGCTAGAAGCAACATTTTCATCATAACTGCCACGCTGCTACAGGCGTTCAACTTTTCAGTTGTACCCGGTGAGCCACGACCAACCACGCAAGACTTTGTGGACGGCGTCACGGCTGGTCCTAAACCATACAGAGCATTAGTTTCTCTGAGAATGTAAGCTAGACATTTGACTGAAGCATTATTTCCATAATGAATCTTGTGTAAACTTAATGCCATTTTAAATAATTATTAATAAGAGTATTTTTAATTTTTCGAGTTAATGAATCTCTGTATACAGACTGTAAGATAAAATATATATATATATATCATTTTGATATATAACGTTTGTCACAAAAATATACTTTTATTATTATTGTTATATATAGGAGTGTACAGACAGACATATGTACATATATAAAGAAAACTACGCGAAATAAATAACTGTTCATACATTAGAAGAATATAGTCTTCATATCACTGTTTGTTCATCGAACAAACATCTGAATCGACATCCTCGCGTCGCATGTTTAACAATAATTATAGCAATGCGAATTGAAGGATCATATTCATCTGAATGTGAACCATAAGCTTTATATGCCAAGGATTCACACGCGATTGAATTAGTAGTGAACGTCGAGAGTAGAATCGGACCGAAACTGAAAATAACACTCATTACGTGTCAGTTTCGACTGAAACCATACACCTCTTCTTCATAAATATTAATTTTAATGAATAATTATTGTTTCAATAATTAAATTATGATGTTTATGAAGAAGTACTTATATTCTTTGGCCAAAATTGGCCAAAACACACAACCGAAATTTCGATTTTCGATTTCGGCCGAAATTTAATTATTGTTTCAATAAATTATGATATTTATGAAGAAAAAGTATATAAATATATGGACATGTCTATACATATAGTTTTCTTTATAGGATTCTTATTTATAGAATTCTTATTTATAGGATTCTTATTTATAGGATTCTTATTTTTATTTTAGTTTCGGTTTCGGTTGAAATTAACATGTAGCAAAATGTTTTGGTTCAGTTTTGGCAAAAGTTTCGGTCGGACTCTAATCGAAAGCGAATCGAGACGCGCGAACAGGTACAGGTCAGTTAAATTCCGAACTAAAATACAATCTTACAGAAAGCAAGAAACACTTACGCTATATAGTTCCAAACTCAACAGTGTGCCATTGTATACACTTGTAAACCGGATATTCGCAAAAGTGTGAATATCAGAAGCAAATCTATTACATTACGACTTGATTTTTGCGCTTTAACAAGCGCCACGTGTACTAAAACAGAAGCCATTAAAATGCTCGACCGACCTAAAAGTCGGCTTCGATTATATTAAACATATTCATTAAAACATATTTTCTCTTTTGTAATGGACGGCATTGAATTAACTGATCCATTTAAATGTATAACATGACAGCAAAATAAAAAAATATATAAATTATTAAGAAACATTTATAAAATAATCAGTCGCTTATGCTAACCATGCAGGTGGTATCGAAAGATCATTCGAGAATCTTCATCCTTTAATCAGCTAGGCTGATCTTCTACTATGTGAATCTAAATAAGAAATTGTATCTTTAGAGCACAGGAGAGATCTAATATTATAATCTTAAATCTATTATCAGGATTTTTTTTTACCTCCGATAGAATGGCCCAGTTTTCACTTTCACTATGTATAGTTAAACGAAGTACCGAAACCTTACCCAGTCTTCGATCCACAGTCCCTTCGGCAACACCAAGTACATCAAACTTACCTATTTCATACAACATACTCTTTAACAATCTCTCAAATTATAAAATTATAAGATATACATGTAGAATTTTTTTGTTACCTATAATAACATAACCGTCCTCCGTCACATCATTGCTATTTCTATCTAATAACGGAGACATCTCGGCTAATACTTCCACGGTTGTATTATAAAATCTATCAGAAGGATGTTCAGGATTTCCGCTCCTGAATAAGTACCTGCACACAAAATAATAAAATGATTGTAATTTTTCAAAATAAAATGTTCATTCGTATTACTTGCAACTTACTTTTTTATAAAAATAGAATGCGAAAATTTAAACTTTAAATGGTCTCCCGGCTGAGGTAGCAAGCCCCAAAAGAATGACTCGCCCTTGTATGCTTTTTGTAATGTATATTGTTTGTAAGGCTTGATTTGAGTCTCCACAGTTGCCTCAGGATTCTCGTGAGCGTAAAATAGCGTTATCTTGCCAAATTGTTTATCCTGTAAACATAATTAAGATATTAATTTATGTTGTCATAATTATACCTCTTTTTTAAGAATAAATACACCTGACATTACTTTGAGTTTCTGCACTTTTCCTTTTAAGGAGGAATGCGTCCCTATGTGTTGAAAGAGAGAAGGTTTGTAATGTACCCATAACTCTGCTTTAGCCATTTTGCAATGTTTCTGCCGTAACAAAAATTTCTCTTTAGAAAATCAATATTCTTCAGTAAATGTATAATTATTATTATTTATACTAACATGGTCCATATCAAGACTGCAGACTTTTGTCGATATCAAATGGTCCAATAGCCAATCAACAGGTTTGTCATTGTAGAACATTAAAAAGAATTGAATCAACCAGGGAAGTTCCACACATTTGAACAGTTTTCCTACAATTTCCAACAGAACTTAAAATATTTCTTTAATATCATCTGAACAATATACAACAATGTCATACCAATAAAACCGAGCTGACAGAAATCGAGGACGAACCAATTTTCCTTTGTACCTATCTTCTGTAACGCAAAAGATTTCATAGTAGTTATAAAATTCTTCTTAGCTAAAATATCATCTTCCAATTGTACATAAAACGTGCCCTTAGCTTGGGCATAGGACATAAGAAAAGCAAAATCTAGATTCTGCTTGGACCGCCAAATAACACGTTGATGATCGTCGCCGAGAGTGTCACGTAATTTTGATAAGTTAGGATAATAGGATAATGATGGTGATATCACATCGATCACGCCAGCTTCGCATTCGTTCGGAAATCTAAAATAAAGAATTCTATTATAAAAGAAATCTGTATTGATATAAACTAGGGCTCGCTATTATACGTTTAAACGAAAATACGTTTACACGTATAATTAGTATATCCGTTTATTAGAATCGTTTTTCCAAATATTTTCACTTTTTTTATACAAACATTTATCCCTTTATTAAGGAATGTGACGAATTGAGAAAATGCAAAAAATTCGATTTTTAATTTTATTAAAAAACGTTAAAATATTCGAAAAGATGTTTTTCATAGATGGATATGTTAAATATACATGTAAATGTATTTTCGTTTAAATGTATAATAAAACACGTATATTCGGAAAAATGTTTCTTTTATAAACGGATATGCTAATTAAACGTGTAAACGTTTACCTTCAAGTAAACGTTTTTTTGAAAGTGAATATAAATGGATAAACGCGTTTTACGTTTACACGCATCTTCGAAAAACGGAATAAAATTAGAGCTCTAGCATAGACATAAGAATAAATATGAATTCGTGAACTTACTGAACTTCAATTTGCTTTGCAACATATGTCACATAATCAATGTCTGTCTGCAAATAAAAAAAAAATATATATGTAGGATGTTCCAAAATAAAAAATAAGTTCAAATGTATTTGCTATTTTTCATTTTGAGCAGTAATTTTTGAAACATGGATAATTATATAGTTTGCAACAATTACAGAATTACTGCTTATCATCAGTTACATACTGACAAGATACTTGATAATTAATGGACTCACAAATAGGCAAAGTTATAATTGAATAATAATTTTAAACTTTGATATCTCATAACATTTTAACTTGCTTTTTAAAACATTTTTCTTATTTGTATTTTGATTTGCAAATTTTGGGACAACCTGTACACATGATATAACTTTATTAATTCATCAGTTCAATGTCTCAAAATACAATTATGCTTTTTTGTAATTAGCGATTCCACTTACTTCGGCCACCAAAACAATGATGAGTGTATCAGCGATCTCTGCGGTGTTCATACGATCCAGCAGATTTTTCAAAGTCGCCATAAGATAAGATTGAACCTCGCGTTTTACCGTCGGTACTCCCAACACCATACTTACTCCAGATCTACCTTTGCTCTGCACAAACGCAGGACGCAGACTATTCGGATCATTAAGAAAATGTGGTAGAAAATTGTAGATCGAAGGCAGTTTGATGTTGGTGACGTTGGAGGTGCCATTGTTGATGAGCAACTGCAGATCTGGTAGAATGTGATTGCTCTCAATCAGCTGTAGCAACTGATGCGACAGCAAATTTATTTCTTCCTGACTGCTAATGTATTTGGCATACAAATGCTCCAGTTTGGCCTGCAACTCAGCGATGCTGTTCTGCAATATGGCTTCTTCACGCATGTCTGATGGTGTCAGCAGATTCAGAATCACGCATGGAACCAAAACTAGCACCAGCACGATTACACATCGCTTCCGCACTGGAGTTAGTGTTGTAAAATGCGGTGTCATCTTCTCCTTTTCTGCTTCTACATTCTACATGATGGTATCCATTGGTAGAAAATAAAAATAAGTATTATCTAGAAACAACAGTTGAAACATAAGTTATAATTTGTTACATAAAGATTTAATATGCTTATCTCAACTTATTTCAAAGATTCTTTTAATTTTGTAATTATTTCCTGATAATTATCAAAAGTAATGTATGTTTATATATTATATATATTTACACGTATTCATTTATTTTTAATTAAAGCAATTAGTCACAAACGTTCCGCTATTTTTATTACTTAACTGTAGCTCTAATATCTTCTTTAATATAGCATTCAATCCCAAAGTAATTTCACTACATAGACAGTAATAACTAATAATTAAATAATATAGAATTATGTCCACATAGTCAGAAAGATAATTGTTAAGAAGGATCATAAAAGTCGGTCAGTTTTAATAAAAAATTATTAAAAATGTATCAAAAATTATATCAAAAATTATTAAAAATATGTTTACAACTTTCAAATATATACTGCAGCTCAAACGTAACTGCTGTTAGTAACACAAAGTAGTTATTTTAAAGCAACATAAAGTATAATTATTTTAAAGATACCGCTAAAAAGATACTACTATGAACTGGCTGATAAAATTACTCGTGGACATTAACATACATAATTTTTACATTTAGCCTTCTTCGAGGTCGCAGTCGACGAATGCTTGTCGCGACGACATTGCTTTGTTGTCGCTCTGGAACTTCGTCCTGTTCGTCTTAATTAAGGATCTTATAGCAGCACGCGTTACGCCACGTACGATGCTCTTATAACACACGTTCTTGGGCTTCTTCACGGAAAAGAAGCAACGCCTGTCGTACACACACCTGTCTCCAACCCCAACATAACCCGTTCGGATATCAGTTTCGAGCCTACCGTATATAGGAATATACTGGGTGCTCGGGGCATCAAAGTGGCAATATTAACAAAATATAAAAAAACATCTTTAATCCCGAGAGCATTTTTTTTTTAGTTATAGCATTTTTTTCTTTCGAAGGAAAGTTGGGAAATCCAAGGATCTAACAGGAAATTTGAAGAAATTCAAAGAAACTGAAACTTGAGTTTCGAGAAAAAGCTTAAATTCAATTCTAATACTAATAAACGATGTTAAATTGATTGATTTTTATTTAATACGTTTATATCTTCGAAAATTATGCGCCGATTTAGAAACAATATCGCGTATAATTTTTTTCGATGGGAATTAAGCGCCCATACAATATTGCGAAAGATACGTTCTCTTTATTCATTTTAAGACAATATGAATATTGGGAAACGATAATTCAACGAAATTAGGACAGAATTAATTAATGACTCGGGCCAAACTTTCATTGTCCTGTATATCAAAACAACGTACTTTATACGAATATAAATAGATATATTTGTTATACCTCTCTTTTCTCTATGTATAAACTAATATCAGTGTAGTTGGCGAGTCATCTTTTGACGCATGCGCGTTTGGACATGGGCTGCGTTTCATTATTCACTGTCAGTACTGGCAG